ATAGTGCACCTACAGGTTATATTTACCACAATTATAATTTATATTGCTTTAAAAAACTTTTCTATGTTCTTGATAATATAATTTGTTTTGCGTACTCAATTAAGTTGATGTATTCTATGGATATATTACAGTAAACCCTCTATTCAAGCATCCTCCATACATGTATGTCATGCCTTATTCTCGAGTTTGGGAGTTAATGCACACCCTCCATATTCTGTTTTTTTTTGTTTCCCCACTATAAGAATTTACCCTCCATATTGTTGTGTGAGCGGTGTTACTGTAGCTGTTATTAGTATTAGGTGTAATTGTATTATTAAGAACGTTGCTGGGATTTCATCGATAATCGTTCGTACAGCTGTCGACGCTGTAAATTTGAATAAGTTCAGCATATGCCAAAAGCTAGAAATTACCAGCCTGAATTTCTACCATTAGAGAAGAATTAGAGATCATAGAAAACGCCAGTTGAATATTTCCAATCGTAAGTTTATTGGTTATTTTCCATCGTATTTATTCGATCCTATAAGTATTATTCCACCGAGAGTCATTCTGTTGGAGCCTTTGACCAAATCCTATAGTGAAAAAGGTGCAGAAACTATTCGAACTTTGGTTGTAAATTGCTACTAAAATATTGATTTACGACGTCAGATATTTACATACATTTAATATTAATCGTAAATCGCTATTATTAAATTCGCCGTACAACGCCCGTAATAGAGATTTGAAATGATGATGTGTTACATTTTAATAATTGAAAAAATCTAATTGAATAGTGATGTAGAGGTTATTGTATGCTTTTGTCTTATTGCGGATAAGGGATTGTTCGTGACAGAGAAACATTAAATTAAAACAGATTACTATTAACGTCTTTGTTAATAGGAGCAGTTTATCTTTGTCGTCATTTGAGAAACTTGTTGACATATACGAAAGCTATCAGATACAATATTGAATTTACTGATGTTTAATTTAATCTTTATATAAATAGTTAATCCAAAAATAACCTGTATAAATTTTTCTCACATTCAGCCTAACTCCAAGATAATCAAATGCTCCAATAACCTACACAAATAAATGCATCAACATCGAGTATAATTTTTTATTAATACTATGACATCTACAAGGGTTTGCACAAAATTCCCTTGTCATTTGTACGTGTGGTAATTTCTACAAAATAAATCCAATTATTTGTGTATTTAAATGGTTGTCTTTTATCTTGTTTACACTTGTTAAGTTTTTCATAAACATACTAGTCGGACTGCCAAGGCATTTCTTGAAAAACATACTCCTGTAATTATGGACTAATTGCTAATAGTCCAGACTTTAATAATCAGTTTGGTAGAATCAATAAAGAGACCGTGCGAGCTAGTGCTCGCATAAGAAATAATGGCGATTGAATTCCCCGAATAATACATAAATAATGGTACTTGTTTTCAAATGATATATCGGGCAGCGTTTGAGTGTCCTATTTGTATCACGTAACATGTTTTGCAGAGTTTTTTTACCTCATGGTTTAATCTACAGAGGAGTGAGTGTTTTCTCGTGTAGTTGATAATAGAAACTTTAAGTACAGTTTAACAACCAACTGAATTGAAGAAACATAGCGGAAGCATAGCATTTGGCTCACCCAGTAAAAGGAGTCACACAAAGACCGGCAAATAGACATCTCAATAGTCAGTCATGGGGCTTATCGAAACTTACCCCTACTATTGCACAAGCGAACAGACGTTGCGAAGGATGAAACATGCTCTAGGTACTCATTCTATTGGCTAAAAATAACCGTGTAACACAAACAATTAAGTCTGGTGTTCAACGTCAGTGCGACAAGATCCATATCTTTTCCTGGGTTCTTGCGCACAACAAGCTGTACTTAGAAACACACCTTCACCAAAGCGGTAACTAATTGAAGGATTATCTGTACCATTGTAGTACAACAATAAGTGTTGATCGGGAAAGAAAATCGTCCCCGGTATGGTATCGTAACACATACATAAAATTTCTAGCATTTTACCGTGGTCGCCAGGAAGAGTATGATTTGATGATGTCTCCATTGTCTATCCATAAGTTAAAATTGTGCTGATGCTGAAATCCGGCTGAAGCTGAAACTAACTAATGAGGTTAGAGAATAAAATCCGATCAACCAATGAAAGATCATAGCTTCAGCTTCAGCCGTATTTCAGCTTCAGCCGTGACAGTTTTTATTACTACTGAATGATGGGGTTAAATTTTGCCTTTTGCATACAAAGATCCTAATTTGTATTAACAAAGAGCTTGTTTCAAGGATACAATAGATAACTGTCAATGAAGAATGTTCCATTTTCATGCGTATAAAGTGAGGCTATAACAATGCTCGCAGAAGGATGCTCATTGTAATTCGTAGAGCAGAAAAAAAAGACAGAAAAAAACGACAATTATTATAATTACACTTGCAACCTCCCAAGATGTCAGACAACGATATACCGATGCCATTCCTAATAGGGAAACTTCCACCACCACTACAAAATGGACTGCAAAATGGAACTGGAGTGACATTCGGGCGTGCTTGGTTACTGGAGCTGGCTTCTTCATGGCAGCATACGATTTGTTTGCCATGAATCTTGTAAGCTTAATGCTCGCATACGTCTATCGCTCAAAACAAAAGGAACTTACTGAAAATGAAGAACTGCGTTTGAAAGTGAGCGCCCAGATTGGAGCCATTATCGGCCAGGTGCTTTTTGGGTATTTGGCGGATCGATATGGAAGAAAAAGGGTACATGTTCGGTCATCTCTATTGTATCTTAAAAAAAGAAATAAACTTTTTTTTTAAAAGTTAATATATTTAATTCAAACTGTAATAGATGTATGGTCTAGAACTCATGCTTTCTATAGGAGCAACGATAAGTTCTATATTAGTGGGGGATAGTCCAACAGTGACAATTTTCGGTAGTCTAATTTTCTACAGATTCATCCTTGGTATTGGCGTGGGTGGTGATTATCCACTCAGTGCAGGTAAGCTCTTCCCGCATAACCACTTTGTTTATTTACCAGTTTCTCCTAAATTATAATTTTGCTCCCAGTTATTACGGCCGAGTATTTCTCCCAGTCAGAAAATAGAGGGACATTGATGGCAGTGGTTTTTGCCCAACAGGGCTTGGGAATTCTTTGTGCAGCCTTGGTCTCTACATCCATGCTCGCGGCGTTTCGTTCTTCTATCGACAAAAATCCAAATAGCCTAGACTATGTCTGGCGTCTTGTTCTTGGATTTGGAGCCATTCCTGGTTTAGTGGCTCTCTTTTTTCGTCTGAGAATTGGCGAGACGCCCCCTTTATAAGACGTACATCAACCAAAAACGCAAACAAGCTAAAAGTGACATGGAAAACAGGCGGGGAACCCGAAATGGCCAAGAAAATATAGAGTTAGAGCAAGAGCAAGAGCAAGAACAAGAGCAAGTAAATATACGAGGGACAAGCTGGAATGAGTTTTACGAATTTTTCAGTCAAAATAGTAATAGAAAATATTTAAGATATTTGATTGGGACATGTGTTACGTGGTTTTGCATCGACATATCCTTTTATGGTATTGGATTGAATAACGCAGCAATTTTCGAGGAAATTGGATTTGATGTCAGCAAAACGAGCGAAGGCCCTTACACCCAACTGTTAAACGCTAGCATTGGTAATATTATTATTACCTTGGTTGGCACCATTCCCGGATATTTGATGACCATAGCACTTATAGATAATAGAAGAGTAGGCAGGATAAGGATTATGTATATTGGATTTGCTGTATCCGCCCTTTTATTACTTATTTTCGGTGCGACATATAATCATACGGTGAAAAATAGAGCTGAGTTTATCACCATGTTCATCTTGGTTCAGGTAATGATGGGCATGATAAAATGTGACTATGGTATTAGAATTCTTATCATCATATAACTTAATAATCCACTCTTTTTTTCTTCTTTAACCAATTAGTTTTTCCAAAACTTTGGGCCCAACAGCATTACCTTTATTATATCCGCCGAGCTGTTTCCAACAAAATGTCGTGCTACAGCATATGGCATAAGCGCAGCAGCCGGTAAACTGGGTGCTGTAATATCGCAGATAGGGTTTAGCAAACTTCGTGATGTTGGCGGAAAGGATCCGGACAACAAAAACGAGTTTCTTGGACCACTTATGGCTATTTCCACTATTTTCATGGTGATTGGATTCACATCCACGTATTATTGCCTTAAGGACACCAAGGTGGAGCATTTGGATGCCAACGATGAAAAGCTCGAGTAGTGATATTCTATTTTATGCCAATATTATTGCAGACACATTTAATAGCAACTTGTAAATACAATACAGAGATACGTAACAATAAATGTGAGATATTTCAAAAAGTACGACTTTATTCTACGTAATAGAAGTACGTATATAATAATGCAGCAGGAAAGAATACAATTATATCTGGGATTTGGAATCGCATGCATGTGTAGATGTGGAGGGTGCACTGATTGCTGTCGAGTATTTATCAATTGCACATACAGTACATACAGTTTATATTAGATTTAAGATATTGAAAAAGAGGAGCTGCTGTAACTGACAGACAGTAAGCGCATGTACAGTACATGAAAACTTTTCAACACTAACATTGACAAATTAATGTCGACAGAACATAAAGAATTAACTTTAGTAACTTAAAAACCGTCGAATAGTGTTCAGTGTATCAAAACCAACCGTTTGCTAAATTTACTTGAAACGTTTTAGTCAAGATTCTGTGAGGCAGTGACAGCATGGGAGCAGTCAGAAACTGCCGAACGACTTGCACTTTTTCATAATTACCCACTCTGACGTCTTTTATCACAAAACGATACTGATACTTTAACGGAATACAAGATAGTAAATGGCGTAGTGAGAATACGTTATTTTAGAATAATCATTTGTTGCTACTGTATTACAGTCACTATATTGATATATTTTCAATTAGGCTAGTCAAATCTAATTAGAAAATTCAAAAAATCGTTCATTGGCTATTTGGCTATGCGCTACTTTTTTGCTTGTTGATTACGGAATTACCATCAGTTGAAAATGGACTAAATGATACTAATACCTATTAATATTTGATATCACATGCACTAGTTAACGTATGAACCGGACTTGAAGACAGGCTGTCCCCGTTCATGGCAGTAGCTGGTAAATGGCCAGACATTGTGCAGGACAATCTAGTTTGGAAGTTGAAGGTTAATAATAGCAATTCACACTCACAAGGGAGTTTATCGTACTCTGATGCCACACTACCATCGATTAGAATTTTGTCCATTATCCGACCTCACTGTAGGGGAGGTGTGACTGTATAGGATGTGACTGTAGGAGAGGTCGACTTTATTCTATTTATGGACAGAAGCAGGAGGACTTGTCACAAGTAGTAATAATAATCCTAATTTGTCCTAATAATGACTTGTAAAGAAGAGAATACAGTTTCAGTTTCGATTACAGAAATCTTGTCAATAATAATAAATACGCGAGTGTCACTCCACATTGCTTGCAGAAGAACGAACAAACGAACAACCAATATTATAATTACGCTTGCACAGGATAGTATACATCAAGATCGGTGGAAACTCTACAAGTCCCATATCTTAAGCAATGTCACGGGTTAATATTAATGAATTATCAGAGACTGATGCACTTGAATTGAGAAATAGTGGGGCAGACTATTTGATGCTTGGTCAACATGAAAATTCTTTGAAATGTCTTAGGAAATCTTTGGTATACGAACCAAATAATGCATTAACATTGGGACTAATAGACACTTACTACAGCGAAACCCCTTACTACAACGAAACCCCTTACTACAGGGTGATCCCTGCATTGATGAATGATAATGACAAAAACCGGGGTTTCGAACGGCTAGTGTCAATTATCAAGAACATAGAAAAGTTTTTTAAAGCAATATAAATTATAATTGTGGTAAATATAACCTGTAGGTGCACTAT